ACAGACTTTAAGTTTCAACAACCAAGTACAAAACTCACGCACATTAAGCACAAACATCACGCACATTAAGCACAAAACTCACGCACTTTAAGTATTCACTCACAGACTTTAACTTTTAACAACTATTCACGTTAAGCACATCCCCACACACATTAAGCACAAACCTCACGCACATTACGCACAAAACACACGCACATTAAGCACAAAACTCACGCACATTAATCACAGATCCGCTCACCTTAATTTTGACCTAGATGCAAAAATTACAAAATTGCCACCGTATTTTTTTTTTAAAACTTTGATAATCCTGGACGTTGATTAAAGCGAGATGGATGGCTCAGATTAAACCGCACAACCGCACCTGAAGCCCTCACCCGCACGAGAACCTAAATCTCTCTCTCTCTCTCTCTCTCTCTCTCTCTATATATATATATATATATATATATATATATATATATATATATATATATATATATATATATATATAAGAAGCATAAGCTAAAAATGGCGCACCTTAAATGATAGAAACACGCACCTTAAGTGTTAGATCTTAAACACAAACGCACGCACATTGAGTACAAAACCCATGCACATTAAGCACAACCTCACGCACATTAAGTACAAAACTCATGCACTTTAAGTATTAACTCATAGACCTTAAGTTTCAGCAACTACTGACATTAAACACAAACTTACGCATATTAAGTACAAAACTCACGCACATTAAGCACAACCTCGCGCACATCAAACACAAAACTCAGGCACTTTAAGTATTTACTCACAAACCTTAAGTTTCAATAACTCCCCTGACATTAATCACTAACCTCACACACATTAAGCACAAACCCTACGCACATTAAGCACAAACTCCACTCACATTAAGTACAAATCTCACACACCTTAAGCACAAAATACACGAAGGTATCCATTAATTCATTCACACAGCCTCCAACATGTGAGCAAAGCTCAGATAACACACGAACAATCTCAATCATAGTCACACAAGGTCATCATCATTACCAAGAAGACTAAGGCTCCACAATAACCTCAATCAAGTATCAATGCAAAGGGTACAACGAATTGCATACGTTCATATCATAGGAATCAATCAAGAGATCACAATAAAGACATGAGACTATACTCAACAACAAAGGATCACAATCCAAACCAAATGATTGTCAGCACAAGTTGCCAATCCCAATAAGAAGGAGCAGACTACACACACTAGCATTTCAACATCAAACTAGCATGCTTAACAAACGGGTAAACAAAAAGTAGTTTCAAAGAACATTCAAGACTCACAATAGCCCAACGAATCACAAAGTCGGACCCTTAGCAAGATTCAAGACACCAAGTTCTACATGGATTCCTAACATACCGTTCTAGACATACGAAACATCAAGAAGACTCACAAATAACCGAATAAAACAACATCGGGAGGTCAAAACATCAATACCGAGTCAAAAGAATCATGGGGAACAATTCCCCGGCCAACACCCATAACGTACCCCACGTGTGGGGCCACGGGTGGACCTCCACCCGCGGTTCTGCCCGCGGGTACATACACCCGAGGACACCGGTTCCCCGCGGGTGGGGCGGCGGGTAGGTCTTTGCTCGCGGGTACGTACCTGTACTCCAAAATATCCCTTCGGGGGTTTTCAATAACAAGGCCAAGTTCAAGTCCAAAACACTCAAAATCTCACACACAGCAATAATATGAATTGAACCAAAGAAATAGCCAAGCAATGGCATTCAAGAACCCTAAGAACAAGCTCTAAACATGCATCACCACAAGATAATGCATCAAATCTCAAAAATCAACACAAGATTCACAAGTAGAAGCCAAGAATCATCATATAAGTAAGAAAATAGGTTTTGTAAAGCATGGGTTACCTCATTCGCTTAACAATCCAAAACCAACGCCAAACTTAGGCTCAACTCAAAAGTCAAACTACCGGGAACCTGTGAATCAAACCAGAACTTCACTAATTAACAAATAAACTAATTAAAACTAATAAAACTAAATAAGCTCATGAGGGGAATTCTACTCTAATTCCTCCCTAAATCACCCACAAGTACAACCGTCTAAGCTAGGCATCCTACTGCTAACTCAATTACAACACTAATGCACTAGAAGCTAAGCTCATAACCAAGAATTAATAGCAAAACTATTAATTAAAACAAGGCTTAACTTAATAAAGCTAAAGTGAGAATCAAATCCTATCCAATCACAATCATAATCACCCCTCTAACCACTAAGCTAAATAAACACTTATTAACTAAACAAACAACAAACAATCTAATACTTAACTAAGCAACAAAGACAAGACAAAAGCTCACATTCTTCGTCTTCTTCACGTTGCCGCACCCGCGGGGAGTCCATCTTCCACAACCATTGCCCGCGGGGTACACCTGAGCCACCACGTCGCCGGAGCTTCGAAGCTACATCCTCGTCGCCGCCGGAAGAAGATGAAGACCAAGGGAGGATGGGGCTGCTGCGTCAACCGTCCGCCGAACTTGCCGCCGGAGTTGCTGCCTCGCCGGAACATGGGAGGTCACGGAGCTTAGGCCCGGAAAGCTGCTAACTTGCTGCCTACACTAGCTGGAAGACAGAGGAAGGGAGAGCTAACGTCTACCATCTGTCAAACCCGCCGCCGGAGCTTCACTCTAGACACCGCCGTCGTCTCCACCTTCTATCGATGCTGCTTGGCCGTGAAAAAGGGAAGTCGTGGCCCTTCGTCGAAGATGAGCGACCGTAGAGAGCTCAGCTTGCCCAGAACAGAGAACAACACCGGAGCTCTACAGGTTGTAGATGAAAAACTGGGACCACCGCCAACCT